ACAAACAGAAAGCGAGAAATCACCCCCCAGGGGGGATGGCCGTGCTGCAATCCCTTCTCCTCCATTCTCCTCACAGGATCTTGGGCACGTACGCACATGCGCCCGGCATGGTTTTAGGCCACCGGGTCCGGGACTCGAACTGCATCGACTACATGGGAGTCCAGCAACATAGCCATTATGCTAACTGCTGGTCCCCCTATTTAATCTCTTACAGCTGCATTAGCTATTTAAACCTGCTATTTGATTAGAACAAAAGAAGCTCCAAGAGACGGACACTTACCCATGTCACCAGCAACGACGAAGAGTAATACGAGGATAAGTACATGGGGTTCCCGAACATCAACACGAAGCACGAGAGCAGTGAGGCCTGAAAAGGAGCAGAGCGGTGCGTGTCGTAGCTGCCGTGTACGCCTCACGCACCCCGTGCCGAGAGGCAGATGGCCTGCATACATGCCTATATATAATACACGTTAAGGCTTTTGCCATAGGGCACATGTGCTCACTGCAGAGACAGAGAGGGAAAGTGAGGAAGCACCCCTGCCCCAGGGGGACGGCCACACTGCAGTCCCTTCCCAGGCTCCTCTTGGGATTTTGAGCACATATGCACATACACCTGGTGTGATTTTTAAACCACCTGGTCCAGGACTAGAACCATGGTCAGCCATGTGGGAATCCAGTGCCTTAGCTACCAGGCCACCTGTCGGCCCCTGCCATTTCTAATACAAGTTTCATGACCATAAAGAAAATAAGTGAATCTTGGACAAACAATAGAATTTTATCATTACTGAGTTATAATAATAAAATTCAAGACCATAAATTTAATATAGCAGAATTTCATTTTTTCTCTATTACTTGTTACAAGAAAAAATTAAAAATGACTATTATTTCTACTGTTTTAATAAGAGTAAAATAATATTACTTATAAATATAAAATTTTCTAATGTTATTTTTACTGGATTACTTAGGATGTCTATCACATATGAAGCTTTATTATCATTCTATGATTTTCAGGAATATGTGTTTGAGTACTGAGACAACAAAAATACAACAACGTAACAGTTTCATTTCAGGTTCTCAGATTAGACCAAAGCGTTTAAAGTTCTTGGATCTGAGTGAGACAGGACACTTTCAAAAGAAGTGACAATAAAGCATGTGAAAATTTAAAAATAGATGCCTCAGAGCGCACAACGCATCTCTGGGCTAGCTGAGAATAAACCTGCCAGTAGGCCACGTCCGGTCCCCCCAGGGTACCACCTCCACCACGGAGGAGGGGCGGGGGGAGTGACACGCCACGGCCTGGGAGCCCGGCCTAGTGCGGCCGCATGAGGACATGTTACCATGTTCATGTGCAGGATCTTCTGAAACTTGCTTGGCTCAATGTAGCCCACAACGTACATGGGGAATAACGAGGCCATCTGAAACAAAAACACAGAACACGAGGCTGCAGGAGGCAAGGCCGCTTTGCCGGCAGCAGAGTGAAGGAGAGGGAGGCCAGCCGAGCAAGGGAGCGGCCTCCGGCCGAGAGAGGGCAGCAAGGGAGAGGGCAAACGCTGTCCATGCCACGGGGACACAGAGAGCACTCAGGAAGCCATCTACTCCTAATGAGGCACACTGGCCATTGTTTGATGATGAGGCCAGGGACGGATGGAGGTGTGTACAGATGACCACCACAGCTGGGGGCACCTGTCTCCCCAATGCACCGGCCACTTCCACCCGATGCAGGCTGAGAGCCGGTGCAGAGAACACGCCAGGCAGGTGTCTCAGCAGACCACGTGGCGGGGCGCCCCGGCAACCGAGCCTGGTAGACCCCAAGTGGAGCTCCAAAGGGCTGGATGTAAGAGTGAGCCAGAGAACAAGCAGCCCCCAAGAAGAAGCAGCACCACCCCTGAGCCATCCTGACCTGATCCCAAGGAGGCGACTCGAGGGTGTGTATGCTTTTGCTTGCTGCTAGAAACAAATTTAATGTTCTGAATGAAGTCCGCTTTAATTTAGCCACAAATTAACTCTACCCACCTCAGAAGTCCCCAAGCACCCGGAGGAGAGATACACCGTCACTAAGACAGCAGACAGAGCCACAAAGAACCGAGCTCGGGATCCGCGATCTCGCCAGTAAAAAGCGGGCTTCCTGGGCCACCCACAGGCTTCGTCATATTTTCGTCTTTTTCTTTTCTTTTCTTTTTTTTAACACTTTGGAAATGTAAAAATAATTCTTTGCTTGCAGACCACTCAGAAGCAAATCTGGCATCTGAATCGTGCTGGACACGTTTGAAGAAGTAACAGACGGAGCATTCCGGGCTGCACTGGGAGTCCGGGGAACTCCTATGGCATCTTAAAGTGCTAAGACAATCGCCAGCCAGAAGTCAGGCGTGTTTAGACGCAGGTGAAATGGCCTTGCAGAGAGCCAGCAGGGCAGGCATCCCACAGGAGCGCGGAATGACGGGAGTGCAAACACAGGAAGGTAGATGACGGCTTGGCGGCAGGGCGTGCAGAGGCCCGAGGCCAGCCTTCGTGTCCCGGGAAGAGCAGGGGAACCCAGAAAGGCTGAACGTAAAGGCTCAGAGGTAGATGGGGGCTTGGCGGCAGGGCGTGCAGAGCAAAGGCCCGAGGCCAGCCTTCGTGTCCCGGGAAGAGCAGGGGAACCCAGAAAGGCTGAACGTAAAGGCTCAGAGGCCCTCGAAGCAGGCGCAGATTCAGGAAGACTCACACCCCGCGGAGGGATAAACCAGAAAAGCCGGACACAGGCGTGCCACAGTCACAGCCTCTCGTCAGCCGCAGGGCCACAGACTTCAGGCTTACTGCAGTGACAGCGATCAGGACAGTGTGGCGCCGGGGGAAGAAGAGAGAAGCCGACCAGTGGAGCAGGGCAGGGTGCAGAGAGACCCGACAGACAGCACAGAGGGTCGAGCGAGGAGCAGGTGACTCAGGTGAAAGAAGAGTGTGTTCAACAACCACACTGGGAGAGCTGGACATCTGCATGCAAAGTACAGCCAGAGCACACTCAGAGCACGCCCAGGAGGGTACAGTCAGAGCACACTCAGAGCACACCCAGGAGGGTACAGTCAGAGCACACCCTCAGAGTACGCCCAGGAGGGTACAGCCAGAGAACACTTAGAGCACGCCCAGGAGGGTACAGTCAGAGCACACTTAGAGCACGCCCAGGAGGGTACAGTCAGAGCACACTTAGAGCACGCCCAGGAGGGTACAGTCAGAGCACACTTAGAGCACGCCCAGGAGGGTACAGTCAGAGCACACTCAGAGCATGCCCAGGAGGGTACAGTCAGAGCACACTCAGAGCA